CCTGCGCGACCAGGGGCGCCGGGTGCGGCAGCCGCGGACTCCTGTCCAAGATTGACGGCGACCTGATGCGGACGTGGACACCGCCCCTGAAGCAGAGCGGGCGCGCGCGCCTGTGGCACGACTGCGGCGCGGGCGCGGCGGTGCGCCTCGCGTCCTCGGGGGACGGGCTGAGCCTGGCGTGCGCGTGCGGCCCGGGCGTGCTCAGCGTGCTGCAGTGGGCGCGGCCCAGCGTGGAGGACTGCGTGCGCATCGCGGGCCACGATGCGCGCGTCACGGCCGTCAGCTTCAGCGCGGACTCGGCCTGGCTGCTCAGCGCCTCGAGCGACGGCCGCACCAAAGTCTGGGACTGGCGGGAGCGGCGCTGTGCCCTGGACGTGGACGTGCAGGGCGGCGCCAAGGGGGCCAAGGGAGCCGACGGCCGCCGCGGGCACGCCGTCACACAGGCGGCCTTCTTCTACATGGACCGGTTCATATTGCGCGCCGTGGGCAGCGCCGTGGAACTCTTCTGTCACCGCCTGCACGACCAGCCCCAGCAAGGGCTGGCCAAACCGGGGTTCGTTTGATGCGCGGGTCCGAAGCCCATGGCAGAATTTGTCTGGCTCGGCTTCTGTCTCACCGCTATGGCCATTCCCTTCCCCTCCGCAGGCTGGCGGGACCTCGCGGCTCACGGCGCGTCCGCAGAATTGAATTCCCGACGCAGGAAGTCATGTGCTTCGCGGCGCCCAACACTTTTTACTCCAGTAAGCATAAACTCCTGCTCACCCCTGTCAGCCCGCTCGTTCCCCTTCTCCTCCTTCTCCTCACGGTCCCCTTGCCGCAGATGTGCTGGTTGCGGGCTGCGCGAGCCGCTCCCTGCACGTGTACGACGTTGGCGCGGAGCGCTTCCTGGCCGAGATCCGCGACGCCCACCCGCGGCCGCCGCACGTCCTGGCCCTCGTCACGCCCTCGGCCGCGACGAGCAGCGCGCGGGCCGCGGACCTGTTCGCCAGCGCCTCGGCGTGCGACGGCGCCAAGCTGTGGGACCTGCGCCAGGCCAGGTGAGCCGCCGTCTAAGCTCTCGCACTTGTTGGCGAGTGGGCTTGGGCTTGCCTTTTTGGTTTTGCTCGTGCTCGTGAGGCTTGCTTGCCTGAGCTTGCGTTCTCCAGCTTGCTTGCTCATGTACTTGCGGGCATGGATTCGCAGGTGCGTCCAGAAATTTTCGAGGCATCTGAATCGTGCCCATGCATGTGGGCTTTCCCTGAGCCCGTGTTGCCGCTACCTGGCTGTTGGCTCGGAAGATAAGTGTGTAAGTAAATCCAGATTTTCTATGTTAAAATGATAAGGGGGTTAAAATCTTCCTGGAAAAACAACGTATCCGTGGAATGATTAGATAAAGAAAGGGGTAAATTTATTTTTACCATGCTTTCATTTCCAGGTTTATGTTTATGACACACGCAAGAGTACTGATTATGTGGATAAGCTGCTGGGTCTGAATGAAGTAGTTTTAGATGTGACTTGGAACTCGAGCAAACCACAACTTGCAGCTACAGCTATTAATAGTTGTGTTGCTGTGTATGCCAGTCCTTGACATTATCAGGTCTTTATCAGGAGACACAGGGTAATACCTGCGAAAGGATTTAAAGAGATTTTCGTCGTAGGGTTGGAAATCAACTTTAATTGCGTTCACAACACATCTTTGTTTTTTCATAAATTAAATCCACAAACATGGCACACTTAGTATTTTTAACACTAAGTTGTAATAACATGCATGCGTAATCTTTGCAGAGGTACATGCTGTTTGGATATGATGACTGAAATTCGGTCTACTCTATCTACAATATGTTACACTGGTGATTGGGAAGGCCTTAATGTATAATTGGTTAAAAATTTTCTGACTATATCCTCCAAAATTAATTTTGAGTTTTACTCTTCTTTCTAATCAAATAGAAAATGTGAATATCTGAGTAATAATTCTGATCAATGCTGATATCACAACCAGAGTGCTAAGAGCATTATTGCACAGGTCAAGACATAGGTATAAACCCCTCCCCACCCCACCCCACTCAAGTCGTTGAGAAGCTTTGGTAATACATTATACTTTACAGGCTGGGTTTGATTAAATCTTCAGCAAGATCAAACCCAGTTCATTACAGTAGGTGAATAAAAATTCACAGGAAGAGTATAAGGAACCACTCTTTGTACCTCAGTACAAAGTGTGTTATTATACTAAATTGCATTTGAACACCAGACCAACTAAAATGTTCTGGGCTATCAACTCAAAATTTTCTTTTCAATACTATAAGGGATGCAATAACATCTCTGTACTACATTACATCAAAATATATTAAAATATATTCCCAAATACGTAAAATTACTACTAAGAAATTTGTCATTGCTTCAGAAGTACTAAAATTTTGAACAACAAAATTTGAGTCTTCAGCACAAAATTTGTCTTCAGTCTTCAATCAAATTTTGCATGAGGTATTGACGACCCTTCTTGAATAGCTGGCCTGTGCTCTCTTGGCTAACAATCACTGCAATAATGCTTGATGCAAACATCTGTTCCAATAATTACAAGAAAAGAGACAATGCTGCTACTGCTATACTATAACACAATAAATACAATCGTTAATGGTATGCACACCCTCCAGGAAAAATCTTTTTGTTTTGCATTTTTACAGGAGATGTAAGTCCTCTTTAATATACAATACAATAAATACTTCTATTACAATTCCATTTACTCAGTGCCACACAGCCGCGCTAAAATTAATTGTTGGTTAATTTTTAAATCATTCTTAAAAGTATGCTAGTCTTTTACAGGCAGTTCCTTTTTTTTTCATAGGTTGTATTTTCCCCATATCCGTAATCTGTGTACTATGACAATCTATTAGAGTCTTGTATTCATACAAGAAGTAACATACATAAAATTTGACAATAAAAACAAACTATTACTCTAACATTTCATTCCCAGTCACAAGGAGTTCCTGATTCCTGAGCAAATTTATGATCACAACAATTGAAAAATTAAAAATAAAAACAACAACATGTTGGTTTTACCATGTTATAAAACTTGAGGCAATTAGGGGCAAATTTGTGTCATGTCTAAATTTTTATACAGGATCCAGTTCATCCTTGGACCCTTACCTTACCCCTGATAAATTCAACTATCCTCACAATTTTCCTGTCTTACATTTTACACCACATATCTCTTCTAGTTCACTCAAGTATCAGTCCCATAAAACTTTCTACACTTTATGTACATGACACTCTGTGAGGTCTTATTAACATAGCAATATTTACATTTAAAGCAACACAAACTAACATTCATTCTGTATTTAAAAAAAATAA